CAACTATCTTAAACAAAACATCTTATGTCAAACGCGATCAAAATTTCAAGGTCCATTTCTTTCCAATCTTTGCCACACGCAGCTTTGGACTTTTTGGCCATTCCAAACAATACCTTTTATTATGCTTTTTGGATCAAAAGATCATGAAAAATAATTTTTCACAACTCAAAATATTTCTAACTATTAAAAAAAAGTGCAGAAAACCTAGTCTACTTGTGGGATTACAAAGCCTGCCCAATTAACTGGCCACCATGAAACACAAACCCAAAGACTGAAATATGGTTCTAGCAATTCATGAAAATACTTAAGCAACCATGTGCAACAAAACTTGAAGAAAATAGTTTAGATGGAACTAATAAAACTCGAGGACAAAATAAATCGCAACACCAAATATAACATAGTTTATTACTGGGGCTATATCTACATGCAAGATGACAAACAACACCCACTGTCAATATTGAAATTACAACTTGAGATACAATTTTACCATTCAATGGAAGAAAATGATTAAAAAAAAAACCTTCAAAAAACCATCTTGTGACTTACCAAAACATCAATAAAAATTTATCTTTCTCTTTCATCCACCATAGTGATCTAACGTCTTGAATGGTAAAAAGCCAGTAAAAACCAACTCACTAAACCTCTCTAAACACAAGGGGATAGTTACAGGTTGCAAGCACATGGTATCAATCAAACATAGATGATTTTGTGTTGCATGGACATGGTATAAATCAATCATACATAACTTTTAGGAATGTATACGATTTAAAATCGAATCTTTCCCATGCATAAAATAGTAACTGGGGTGATGAAAACGACTTAAACAAGAACACCACTTCGAGAAAAAAATAATCAAATATATCACAATTGTGTGTTTGAAGGAATTTTGAGTTTGGCGGAATGAAGAATAGTAAAAGAAATATATAACTTAAACGGTGAGGTTTGCATAAGGTTGCAACTTTAAACAATTAAATTAAGGCGCACCTCCAAATTTTATTATAAGATATAATTTTATTGTAAAAAATTCATAATAGCCAGAAAATCTATTTTCATCCCTAATTATAAAATTTTAAATTAAAAAAATAGTTCAAATCAATTACATCTATTAATACATAATATTCTTGAAAATGGACAGTCTAGATAATGCGTTGCAAGATGAACTATTTTTGGGACTCAAAATCTTTTTTTTTTCTTTTCATATTCTTATATCTTGATGTCGAAATGATCAATGAGAGGGTTTTCAACATCAAAACAGCTTTTTTCAATGACTTTTGGGGTGCACCTTAATTCTACATTTCAAAGTTGCAACCTTATATGTACGTTTTCCTAACTTAAAAAGCTTCCAATTTAATGTGTTTCTACTTTAAATTGTATAATTTTCAAATCTCTCTCTCTCTATGTTTATGCGTGCATGTGCATATGATATTTTTAACACCCAAACAATTGAAGCAAACATTCTTTACACAATAGACTCCCACACACTCTTGTCGCATATCTTTTTCTTTTTCTTTTTCCTTTTTCCTTTTTCCTTTTTCCTTTTTCCTTTTTTTCCTTTTTTCTTTTTTTTTTTTTTTTTGAGTAATTTCGTGGGGAAGATATATCTCCTACTTTATTTGACGAAAAATTGATAATATGAATATGTGAAGATAGTTAGACACATATAGCCTCAATGCTTTATACGCATTGGTTAATGACTCGATTGCCGGTTTGGGGTTGGCTTAAAATAAAGTGAGCAAAAGTCATCACAAGTTCTTAATGAGTTTATTTAAGTTTGCGAAATTCAAATTATTAATTAAGATTTAAAAATCTAGAAAATTAAAAGAATCTAGTGGTAAATATAACAAAAACTTAATAATAGAATTTTCTCATACACGTGTTTCTGGCCTTATTTATCAGGACTTAATACAAAAAGATTCTTACAAACTTATTATTTTAGAATGATGCATAATGTTTTAAAATGTTTCAAAAATAAAAATAAGTAATTTGGGAATTTCTTTCATCCTATGCATGCCAAAAAATGTTATTAAGGAAACTAGTATGAATTACTCCAAGTCCCTCACATTTAAATATCTTGAATCACTAAACAATCAAATTCATAAATTAGAATTCAATAACTTAAGGATGGGTGACCTCCTGGGAAGTTCTTGTGTTGCATCTTTTTACAAGTTGGGGTCTGTTATCCCCATTGGTCACCATTATCATCATCATAACATTTTTCCAACGAATTGGGGCTGACTACATGAATCACACTCCGCATTCGCCATAACGCCATATCCTCAGTGAGGCCATAAGTCCCTATATATTTTCTCACTACTTCTATCCATGTCCTTTCTGATCCGCTCCTTGTCTTTTTTGGCCTTCTACTTGAATGTCCTCCTAATAGGTGCTATACTGGGTCTACACAACATATGGCTAACTCACCTAGGTCTGCTTTATCTCATCTTATCGTCTACTGGTGCCCTATCTAAATTCTTCCGAATGTAATTATTTCGAATTATATCTCTCTTGTCTTGTTACTCATTCATCTCAACATCATCACCTTAGCCACATTCATTCTATTGGCATGTTGTTCCTTGACCACCCAACATTCCACCCATAAAGCAAATGTGATCTCACAACCTACATAACTCAACATCAGCACCTCAGCTACATTCATTCTATGGGCATGTTGTTCCTTGACTGCCCAACATTCAACCCATAAAGCAAAGCTGGTCTCACAACTTATAGAACTCGTCATTAAGCTTCAATGGTATACGATGATCATATAAAACTCTGGTTGCGCATGTCCACTTTGCTCTCTAATTCTATGTGCGACATCTTTCTTAATCTCTCAATTTTCCTAGATTATCGACCCAAAATATCGAAAGTGCATTCTCTTTGGTATTTCTTGGTCATCAATCTTAAGTACTTCCTCGTCTCTACTCCTATCAGTACGAAACTTGCATTCCATATATTATGCCTTAGTCTGGTTAATTGTAAGACCTTTAGATTCTTGAACATCTCTCCAAAGTTTTAACTTTGTGTTGACGTTATTTTGGTCTCATAAATTAAAACTATGTAATTTGCGAACAACATGCACCGTGGTACCTCATCTTATAGGTGTCTAGTTAAGCCATTCATAACATAAATAGGTATGGGCTCAATGCTAACCCCTGAGCACAAAAAATAAATAAAAAAATAAAAAATGATGTTTTCTTTTTAGTAAATTTCAAAAATTCGATGCAACCTTATTTATTAATCTAGGAGTTATTATTTTTCAAATTCCTCATCTTTTTAATTGTTATATTCTTTAAAGATAAATTTCTAAATAAAAAGACCCGCTTAAGAGGACCCATTTTGAAATCGATGTGTGAGAGAGAGAGAGATGGCCCCATCCTTCAGAATTCGTAGCTTTTTGAACAAGTTTGCAAAGGAAAATTCTCCATGAGCTATAACTATTTTAAGTTATCTCTTCATCCACCGTCTTAAACCAAGTACCTCTCTCTCTCTCTCAAAATTCGATTCTCTCCTCATCCTCTCTCTCTCTTTCTCTCAAAAGATAGGTTCTTTGTTTGATAATTTGGCTGATGAGCTAGTAGAAAAAATCCGACTGAGACTAATCTTGAGTCTCAAGAGTGTCTCCAAGTCATGATAGAACTCCCATGACCTCTCCATAACGAATCATGCTCCTCTTGGATGCCAAAAAAGCAAAATATGAGAATGGCATGTGGCAATGGCATCCTTTGTATCTTCACAAATAGAGCTCCTTCACCATTGCAAACCCTGCAACCGGCTAATACATGGCCCCCTTCTGCTTATTCACCTTCGAAGATTCGATATATTAGACTTCGGGTTCTATGTTGACCTCCAACATCACAACTTCAAAGTGATGGCTGTGGCTGAAGGGTCCCGGCTTTGTCACTCACCAATTGGACGATGGATGTGCCTTGACAGCATAGAGCCACTCAAATCCCTGATCCATGACACGACAAGGCTCAAAACGATCAATCATACATGTCACAACTACAATATTCCATTTAACTGGTTGAACTGTTTTGACATGGCAAGAGAGAAGTCCGAGATCATACCCGCACCACCCAAGTTTGAAAGAGTGTGAGGTGACGATGTTGATGTTTTAGATTGGGATGGCTGCATTTCACCTGTGGCCATAAGCCGAGATTTGAAACTGAAATTGTGCAAAGAGAAGAACTGGAGATGGTGGATGAAGATTTGCGACAGGAGTTGGATGTGATCACAGGTGGAAGAATGCACCATAGTTGAAGCTTTCCTCCTTGCAACATCATTCCCCCCCACCCCATGATAGAATGGTTCGGTAGTTCGCTTGGTTAGAATACTCTATGTATCTTGATTTGAGCTTTTTAGATCAGTTTTCATGAGGACTGCACCATCTTGGGTTGGTTGTTCTTGTCCACTGATATTGGTGACGTAGAAAACAGCATCTCTTTGGACATCAAATCGCTTCTCGGAGGTGAGGGTAGGGATTTTCTTATAAGAAACAACTGTGATCAGGCATTGGCCCCCATTATGCTTTTTTGGCCATTTATGGGCTATTTTGCAGCTAAATCAGTAATTCTTGGTAGTTTTTTTCATTCTTTGATCTTTTGATGCTCAATTTTTTTCATTCTCCCTACAAAAAAGGTGGTTATTGGTGGTTTCTAGCCTCTTTTGTCAAATAAAAGTTAGTCTAAGATCGCAGTTACTAAGGTTTTCTTGTGATGGCTCTCTCTCTCTCTCTCTCTCTCTCTCTGTATTTATTTAATTTGTTTTATGCCCATTTCGTGCAGATAAAAACAGACCAGGCTTTAGAGCTTTCCCTTAGCAGAGCCTTGATTTGATTTTAAAGGGTACACTATACAATTCAGTAAACCTTGGATTCCTGCATGTAGACTTGTCCACAAGGTTTGAGAATTTTTGGGTTAAAATGTTAGGTAAGGAAACTGCATTACTGGGGGAGATTTGGAGATATGTGGTTAACCATTCCATATGTTCAAATATTCTAATGAGCCAAAACAGTCAACTTACTAAAACTTCAGGGAACTGTAACAAGAGGCCGAAATGAAAGACGAATTCAAAATTCAACTTGTTCGAGTGTTATGAGTTTTAACTCAGGAAATTTCAAATTCTAATCTTCTGTCCAAGTTTCCAACTACAGACAAAGATGCAAGCATAATTAGGCAGTACCCATTATTTTCATGCATCTTTATAAGTAATTAAAATTAATTAGTGCCTAATCATGCATCCCATCTTTATCAGTAAAAGATCAATATCATTGAGTGACTTGAGAATTGCCCATAAGATACATCTGAGTGGTGGAGATCATGGAGTTGCAGGCAACATTGCCACATTTGCATATTCTCCTCTTACGCCTTCCGAGAACTTTCCTCACTTCATTTGCAAGCTCAATCACCGAACTGTCTTCATGCCCTAAAAGTAACATAAAAGAAAAAGAAGGTAAAAAAGAAAAAACTGGTAAAGTTTAGGGAAAAAATTATTATGGATATAAATTATGCTAAATGGAATGAAAGCTGATGGTATGTTCTTACCAATATCAAACAATGCCTTCTCTAAATGGAATAGGTAGTCCCTGTTATTCCCACAAGGGCCAGTAGCTTCTGCAATTTGGCTGGAAGAACAATGAAACAATTGAAAAGTTATAATCTCTCTCTCTCTCTCTCTCTCAATTGAAAAGTTATAA